CATACCACCTAAAGAATACCCGCTGCCTCATAACCTATTCTCCCACCGCAATATTAATGACCGTTGCAGGAAACATACGTGGTTACACTGCCCAATTTCTTTCAAGCTGGACCATGAGCGTTCCTTCCAACGTATACACTGATGAGGCATGGAACTGAGAAGCTGTATTTCTAGACAATATCTAGTCCACGAAGATACTGAGAATCACGTATTGCACAAAACGCGAAGCTCCTTGAGATGAACAAATGAATGACAAATCGTGAGACCACAACACATGTATGTGGATTCTCACGCATACTGTGCATCACAAACCCGTTGTTCTTGTGATAAATTTGCTGACACATAATGCTGTAAACGTATTTTTGGCTCAAAGCTGTTGACCGGACAGGCCAATCCTTTGGACCACTGTGACTAATCCACCGGTGATCGAACACCCCCTTAAGATAATGCCGCACCGTTCGTGCATAATGGGCAGATGCGCCATATTGAATCTATAAAAGCTGAAGCGAAGTGCCGATGTATCCAAAAATAATCAGGGATGAAAACATCTCTATCTCGTAGCTCCTACGTAATTTGTCAGTGACCGTTCCCTTACCACTGGAGAATCATGATAGTAAGAGAAATAGCGGTAATCATAAGTGAGTTACTTGGTGAACACTTGGTCAACGTCATCTAAGCAACGGAAGTACGTGACTCTGGCTTACAGGAAGCGCATAACGCAGCCTACTGAGCTCCAACGGTTTCGTCCACTGCCGTCAAGTTTACAATAAACATCAGCAGAGACGCCTGCAACCTGTCGGGCCATTGAGCGATCGGACGTTTTTCACGTACTCATCTAGTGCTATTTTCTCCCAGCGTTCATTCAACCACGACGAGCTATGCGCACCATTACCCATCACAACAATGTGCTAGCGAAATCGATCGCAGTGCATAATACATATATTTACATAAGTAAAATTAAAGAGCATAAAAGGCAACGAAATACATGTTCAAAATGGTTACGTCGTTTTGCTTGCAGAGCGATACTCGCCGGATGCTATTGGCTGGAACTCCGTGCAAAGTGTCAACCGATAAGCCGTGACATTCCTTGATGATGTTCAGTTTCACTTCCTTCGGCATGCAGCTGTGGAATGGCACAGGTCCGCGAGATTTATTTGTAGGAGGACGCTAACAAATGTGAAGCGTCAGTCATGTGAATAAATCAATGTACGCGTCATAAAAGTCAACGAAGTGGATGTTAAAAATGTCCGCCGTCGTTTTGCTTGCACAACAGTACTCGCCGGAAGCTATTGGCTAGCAGTTTCTGCAAAGTATCCGCCGATATACTGCGACCTTCGTTGACCATATTCCGCTGCATTTCCTCCCGGCAAGTTGGCCTTATTTTATACACTTGGTATTTCAAATACCCTATAGTGAGAAATCCAGTGGGTTCAAATTAGGAGACCTTGCATGCCGATCAATTGGTCCTGCTCAACAGATCCAGCGGTTACCAAACTTATCCTTATGGTAATCACCTCTTATTTGTGCAGAATGAGCAGGCGCACCATCCTGCTGCCACCAAACAATACTCAGGAAACCTTCAGCCTGCAGCTGTGGAATGTCCCTGGACTGCAGCTTTTCTTTATACGAGGATGCTAACATATGTGAAGGCTTAATTCTGTAACAACAAGCAAGTTAACTTTGACATTCTTTGAAAAGAAAAATGACCCGATAATTTTCACCCTGTCAACCCAGTACATGCCATCAGGTGTGCATCATGTTGCGCACACGAAGCATTGCTTTGTCGTGTGTTATTGGTAGCCCAAACATGCCGCTTACCGGCGCCATGCAGACGGAAAATTGCCTCATCCATAGACATGATTGAGTGCACGTCCATGATATTCAGATACCGTCGGAAAAATGCTATACGTAGTGACAACGTTGTATGGACAGATAGAACAACCGCCCATGAGGTCACTGAGGAAATCATTCTTCGAACTGATTGGTCTTGGTACGAGTAATGGATATGACGTTTAATGAAGCTACTCATAGCCATGGAGATTATTTCGCTGCGATAGGAATGCAGCACGACCACCCTGTTCAACCGCAGTCTCGTATCGTGCACGTGGGCCAGCGCATGCTCCTTATGCAACCGTTTTGTGAGTGCATATCGAATTGATTGGAAACGGCTGGCCGCTAAATCGCTAGCAACTGCACACTGAGGTCGATTAACGCGCAGTACGTGGGTCGGTTAATTTGGAAATTTGAACAAACTCTGAGAGTGTGCGACTTAAAGCGAACTGGCGGGCATCGTACGGCCATGGATGAGGTGTCTGCTTGCGCTGTTATTGAAGTGGAAGCCCGAAATGGTGATGTAAGATTCAGGAGAATTCAGACATCCTACGGGAATTGTCAAGCAATCGCGCTTATACCCGTAATAAATCATTGTCCACTGAGTTAATCGCAAGTCACTAAGTTCTCACTGTCTTAGGTCTAGTTTATTGTCGACTCGTGTTCTCACCGATCAAGGTGTCAATGAAGTACATAATAGGTAGTGTTAAACATACCGGAAAACACTTATTGTCCAGTACTACTTCATGGGCTCGTGTAAAGCCTAGGCGACTGCTTAAGTAAAAGCGCTCCGGTATCGTTGGCACGAACGTAAGAGGTAACAATCCAGAGATGCGTGATCAGTCTTAAGGACAATTGCTCTAACTTTCTAATTAATTGAAGGCATGCCGTCTAATGTCACACATTCAGCAAAGGATTTTTCATCAGCGTCACTATGCACATCGATGTCAACCTGGTTATGCAACTGAGGCGTTAGCGGTTTGGTTTTGAGTGAACTCGGGTGGGACTTAGGTGAGCGAATATCTATGACCCAGCATGCGTGCCGTTCCCGGCCGTACATCGGAACTAATGACCATGGATATGAATTTCGTAGACTGCGATGATTGGGTCGCTCCGATTACGTTTAGCAGCAACCGACGGACTGGTGGATTTCAACAGTATAGGAAAATGAGACTCCTGAGACCTGTGAAATCCGCTCAAACGAATGCTAAGCCCTGTTAGTGTGCAAGCCTTAAGTAAGGTGCCCTTCACCGCAGTGTTTCTTAAAGTGTAGTCCGTGGGATTTAACGAAATGTCATTATTACGCTAAATATTTTTCTGAACTTGATCAGTTGATATCATAGGTTGATGATAAACATGGTGTGAAAATTTGTTCAATCATATGTGACAGTGTACGTTAGCACAAGGATTGGAAAGGTTTTGCCGATTTTTCGCAAAAACAGTTAGATATCCACTCAAAGAGCAAGCAAAGATGACTTCAATAGCATATAATAGCCACGATCCGTTGAGATAGTACGTAGAAGACAAACAAAATGTTAGAGTTTCGGTTTGGTGTCCAGGAATGGATGTGATACAATATTTACTGTATCAGGGCTTCCCGTGGTGGAGCTGTACGCTATCGGGCGCGTCCCCAGGTTGCGGATCGGGGAATGCCTTCCTTGTATAGATAACTGCGAATAAGTCTCGTTTGCCTTGCAGGCGAGATGAATAAGCAGTCACGGATAATCAGCGGCAGCGTCTCTGAGCGTGGGGAGTTCTGGGCTGGTCAGCTGGTTCTCCGTCAAATACTACAAGAGCTCGTACGGCGCTGTGTCAAAGCCAATGTGACCGGCTATAGGGTCACTGACCACTCACTTCTGTAACCAGAAGTAAGTACCTAACGGAGGGCGGATGAACAACCTTGTTGACCACCGGCTTCTCTGTGGACTGCTACTGAACACAAAGAAAGCGAATGAGCTACCCGGATGTCAACGGTCATCGTTAATCGTCCCGCTGCCTTGCGGGTCAGGTCTTTATGACCAAAGGCTCGGGGTGGGGTCCTTTAAGTCAACCCTCTTCCTCGGCCGGGCAACCGGAAAGATTGCCCGCACAACACAGTAACTTGTAAACCTACAAATCTTTCCACTGTCCATCTGCTTTCCCCTTGTTGTTGTTGTTGTTTTTGTGGTGGTGGTGGTGGTGGTGTTGTGGCACTGCCAATTGTATATTGATCAGGTGTTGAATAATATGTTGGATAAGGAATAATGTAACGGGGGCTGCTAAATAGCACCAACTTTAAAACAAATTGGTTAGTTTTTTAATGAATTCTTCACAATAGCCTCTAAGCCACATGGCTCAAGCACAATTCGGAAAAGCACCAGACGCGTTTCGCCCTATTGGGCCGCATCAGTGGTGCGCATTCCTTCGATCCCTTACTGGGGATTGAACCCATGACCGCTAGAGGCTGACGCCAACTAGCCAGCAGCTTGACCCACTGAGCTACGGTTGGCGGCAGGTGGGTTCCTACTCACAAGAGTGCTTAGTGGTAAGTGTGCCGAAGAGACAATACGAGGTGCATGCCTCTACCAGATTACTTATTCTTACCGCTGTCTACAAACCGTTGGCCAATTATACGCCTGCAAGCATGCTTCAATTATTTCCCTCGTGATTATCCTCTTCTTTTACCTTTCATCTATAATCGTGGATGTGTTATGACAACTGGATTCGCGAAGAGTCTGTGCTCAATGGCAGTTAAGTAAGACCTTAAATATGAGGCGAGCGACAAAGCGCATGGGACTCCGATACCTTCATGTACACCGTCATGATTATAAACCCAACGGCCTTGTGGAGGATTGATGGGACAAAGACACCGAAACGAAGTTGAAAAATGCCAAAGCCGTTACATGGAATGACTAATGGTCAGAATCGGAAGAGTGGATGCGAGTCATATTGGGCAGAACCTAGAAAGCGGTTAACCCAAGAATCCTAGCTTATTCAGAAAAATTGTATACAAAAAGGCAGCTCCCGACCAGTATCTTTGCGTCCCTACGCCGCACTATCGAATAGCAACACGTGCCAGGACAAGTATAAGGTGAAAGTGGCACTTAGCGCGAAAAGCGTAGTAGGATCACTGTTGCAGGTGTGCGCTCGCCTGGTAACTTGATAGCGCATTATACTGAAGCTAATTCAAGTCAATAATTGCAGTAAGTAACTAACTTCAATTGCTCAAATTTTGGTCTATTCTTCTTTAACTGTGGATCCACGTTGTCGGATGATTCCAGCTCTTCCAGAATGAAGCGCACAATATCAAGCACCTCTTGAAGCTGGGTGGGCCGCTTCAACTTCAGTTCATGCGTATATTCTCCAGCATACTTGGAAAACAGACAAAAAAACTTCTCATGTCTGACCTCCATCTTCATTTTTTGCTTCGGAGTTCGATCACCGTGACGGATCACAGCAATGACACAACGTAACTCCATGATAGTCCCGCAAGTCGTCGGGACCCACGGTGTGTCCACATCGGTCCCCGGTGGCAAGTGGGCAGGAACACAGAGACGCGGAGCAATTTTTCGGGTAATAAGTACGCCCAAAATGTGACTACAGTCATCGTAGTACTTTCTGGACGATTTGACGAAGGAGAACCCATTTACGTCGCATACATAAGACATTCCATTGGCTCTCAAAAGGTCGAAGCCGCAAATCTGTTGCTGAACTGCCTTAGCCACTTTCTTGGCGATAATTTTCTCGCGAGGCGTCAGAATTACGGGATACCGAACTTCCTTACCCTCATGATCTCGCTCCACCTTGCCATCCAGGGCAGGTGACTTCCGAGCCTCTGCATGAGCGTAATCATCTGCAACTGTGTAAACCTACCCAGAGAAGAGAGAATGAAGGTAAAATTGTTTGTGGTATTGCCTACACGAATTGCACTGACAACACTAAATCGGAAGCGATGATGGCCTAAAACGTTGCAGCCATTTACTTGTTTTCCCAAAACGAGCTACCAGTAAATAAAGAAATAAATAAAGGTTAAATTCCTCGACGGTGCGTAGCCCAGTCCAATTAACTGGTCTGACCATTATGCGCAACGGGGTCGCATAGAACGGATAATCTTTCTTCGATTTTTTGCAAAGCGGTTTCCAAAATATTTTGCGTGGCCGATTGATCGGTCCCATCTTTCAGATAGATGGAGTGGTCGATAATAACAAATGCAGGTAAATCTAAATGTCCGAGTAAAGTAATAAGGCCAACCGTGGAGTCCTCTCCAGGTGGGCTGCTTCCATGCAGGCTAGTCCCTTGAAAGGTTTCATTCGCACTTCCATGTCTGTTCTGAACGTGCGCTGGCGGGGCTTTAAAGCAGATTAGTCATCACGAATTGTACTCATCTTTAGGGCGCTTTTTAAGTATATATATATATATATATATATATATATATATATATATATATGGATATTTAGGTTATATAGGGCGTACCACCAAGCACTTTTATCAATCGTCAGGGAGTCTATGACATCTTGCCTCGCATGTGTTCGTTTACTAGTTTACAAGCTAAAATCCGTCACCTCAGGAGATCGACTCAGTCGTGGGCAACAATGGAGTAAAAAAGATAAAATACGAGAAGGCAGAAAGGTAACTACGGTAATGATGATAAATAATAAATTGTCGAATTTAAATAGCGCCAAGAAAGGCCGAAGGATTTCTCAATCAAATTGTGCGGCGCAATCGTCGTAATAGGTGGTTGCTCGGATTATGGATAGGCGAGACAGTTATGAAACAGATCTTCCGGTTTATCCGACAGTTGCATGCTTTCGCAAAATACAGTAGTAGTGGTATAGCAGCCTCCGGAAGCAAATATCTGAAAACTAACAGGGTGATTCACAAGCAGTTGTGTTGGATTATAAGTGATGAACCAGGCACAACAGTCTCACATCCATGAGATGTTGACAGTGGGAAGCAATAATTTGCACAAATACGATACTGGTCTAAGGGCAAACTGCTCTCTCTTAGGTGCACAGCGACTGCAGAGTAGGACGCAGTGTGTGTGTGTTAGCAAAGTGTAGAGTATGCTCTAGATTTTGTAGAGTAAAAATATGTTAACTGACCTTGACATCCGTGCCATCCGTTGGCATGAACTCCTCGTACATGTAAGATCCATTTGTGCGAATGTTGCTGTGAGAGAAGTATTTGCTGCTCAGATTACCCACTTTGCGGAACAACCTTTGGCTACCACCCCCAGCCGAACTGGGGAAATAAATGTATACGTTGTGATCCTCAGCACTGAGCGGTTTTTCCACAAATGGTTTATGGAAGATTTGCCCCTCAATCTGAAACGCGATACATACACAAAACGAACTGATTTGACAATATTAAGCCATGGGAATTTTGCGTTCGAATGACAGCCCAGTTGCAGCGGAAATCAAAAGCACCAAGAGTGTATAGAAAATGCCACCATTCAGTCACTGAGGCAGACAATATCACCCGTGTTCGCGCAGCAGTGGGTGCTGATTCGAATGAGCAGGGTTGCGAGTTTTAGCACCTCACAGAACAAATAGACAGGGTACTGGTGAAGAGACATAATACTTTTCCGCATGACTAGTTCATCATTACTATTATCGGCAGCAGCAACAAAAACAACAGTACATCGGTAAATTGGACTGACGCTTTGCTGGCATACGACCATAATGACCTATGAAGTGAGAAGTAACAAGTAGTGGACAAGGGAACTTGGAGTAAAACCAAAACTCCATAAGCAAAGATTCAGGATCAATGTACCTGCGTTTTATCAACAACATATCGTTGTCAACAATTGTCTACCTTAAGAAAATAAGGTGAATTCAGTGGAACGGTTTTCCTGCGACTTCACTGCCCTGTGCTATAAGCAGCCATACTATACATGTGCACAACTTAAACAGGTAGTACGACCATGAGACGGCATCATTTGTGACGAGAACGAGCCAAATCGCGTAAAGTCTTCAGCAAACCACAAAACGGGTCATATGGAGTTCGGTCAGCGATTTCATCTCCAACTATCAAGTCAATTTCTGCTTATCCTGCATCATTCTACGTCCGGAAAACAAAGAGGCCTTCCTCAGTAACCGGAAACCGGATATCCGTACACGTGTCCGAGGCAAGTTCAGTTCAGCTGAACAAGCACCGAGGTGAGGTGGACCCTGTCTCCACGACTCATATCGTCAAAATAACAATAGATAATGGTAATAAAATGTGGCTGAATGCAAAGCGAATGTAAACAAAATGGAATCAATAAGGAGGTAAGTTAAACGGATCAGGATGGAGCGAAAATTAACTGCAGGATGCAAGAAATTTAATGCAGGAAAGCCATTGACTGCGCGACGGCGCCATGTATGCCCGAACCAATGCAATCTAACCAATGTGATTTCCCGTTCAAAACAACTTGTTATCACCAACTAGTACCCGCCTGTGTACATCATCGTCTCAGACCTATTGGTGCTATGCAACCCCGGAAATGCCCATGCGTGCAACGAGGAGCAAAAAGATGAAGGACCAAAGAGACAATAAAAAACGACCGTCCTCACTGAAGCATTGTACGCACGGCCATTCAAATCGAGGGAAATCCCCTTTTTGGGCACAAAGATGTGGCCGATTCAAAAATGCAATATGGTTCTAGTGCAAAATATCGTAAAATCAAAAGGTTAGACGTGGCTCATTATAAAGGAGTCCAGTGAGCGAATAAGATCCCAAATGTTTCTAAACCCAGCACTTTTGTAAGTAGTTGTTAGAATTGGAGGTCGCAAAATATTTCATTGGTTTGTAAACAAGTAGCCTGGAGGATCGCAGATTCAACGCCGTCTCGAGTCACGTGAGTACGACTTTAATAATAACTGAAAAATATGCAAAAAGCAACACCGGACTTTGTACTGGTAAATCGCATTCTTCGCCTCGTGGCCGAATGGATTATGCGCTTGTCTTGTACTCCGTAGGCCATCGGTCCGAATCCGCCTCGGTGTGGGCGGCTTCGCTGTATACTCAGCCCTTGCGTGGCTGTCGGTGGTCACATCGCAGCAAAGCGTCGGTACGGTGCGCCGACGTATTGTTGATGCCCCTGCCTCTCTCCCACACAACCATAAGCCGTTGCGTTTGGATACTACATGGATACCAAATCTTGAGCTGGAAACAAATGATGAGTAATTCGCCTCTATGGTAGATGAGAACATTATTGGCTCTATGTGTAGATCAAGGAGCATATTATGCCGTAGTTACCAGAAGTCAGTTCGCAGCCATCAATCTCATGCTCACGAACATTAAGGGGCCAGTGAAGGAACAGTAACAATGCCAATATTTCTTAAAGCAACTAGGAATAAAATAAAATAGCTATAGAAACTTTTAAACTCACTTCGATGGAATCGTCGCTCTCTACAACGTTAACTGGGGGGCTACCTGGCCTCCTGGAGACACAAGCATATCGAGGAACTGGAACGCCTTCACGCTTCAAACACTCGTACACCAATCGTCTGTCCATCAAGATATACTGTGATTCCAGGTCGTTGACAAGATATGGTTTACGCAAATTCGAATAAGCAATGGCTTTTTCCAGTGGAAAACCCTCAGAATAGAAACTGACGAGGGCATCGCATATGGGCCACGATTCAATGGGCTCGTTGAGTATCACATGCTCTTCGAAAATTATTAAACGTATATGCTGGAACTTATCCATCCGGCGCAAGATTTCCTTCATGGGCTTCGACATTGCCTTTTTCGCCATTGCACACAACCCAATAGTAATAATGATGTCGGAGCCGTCATTGTTGCTCTCGCCCATCAATGTTTGCCCTGGAAAAAGTAGAAAGATATCGAGCAGATGGGCGATAGCGAATGGCGGAAGATGCGTCAACACGTAAAGAGGTGCAACAGTGTGGAAAGTAAGAACAGCGAATTGGAATATTATACTCAAACGAATTTGTGTGCATACAGGCACTGTGCCCGAGAGCGCAGAGTAAGGGGCTGAGGAAAACATAACAGTGAACGAGCTGGTAGATTCAGAAATGAAATACCGATAAATGGCCAAATACAATCAGACGAAGATTTATCGAATACCACTATACCATTTTACACGCATGTTACACCAAGCATTTAGTGTCGCACATTTTCGAAATCACGTCAGGACTTTCAAGTTAGCGAGGCTAAGAACGCTGTTTTGGCGTCGTTGACACTCTCATAGGACTCATGAGACGTAAACCAATGGGACACCGGTTAGAATCCCTCAGCATAAGCGACAGACAGTCCAATGAAAGTGGTCGACAACCACCTTCTGTTCCGTTTTGATGCCTATCTGAAAAAAACCTCGATGATTGGTCTCCAAACTGAAACCGTCCAATGCACAACTTGTGATACGTGTCTGAGGAGGAGATCCTAGCTACCACATAATCCGAAGCTTAAGACGTAACCAGTGCGGACAGACATACTAACCAGCACATGAAGCGGTCTATAGTGATCGCTAGCGGCTACCTGGTGGTGGCTTATTCAGCAGCCTAACCATGTTGGCGTAGACAGACAATCTTCTAACTGGTATTCCGCAGTTCAGCAATGGTTGCTAGGCGGTTAGACAACTGTATGCCATTGTCATTGCAATGATCATGCGGCACATTGTTCCCATGGAAGTTGGTAGACCAACCTGAAGCTGAACAACGAAAGTTCTATATTTGCTTACTTCTATCACAGTTGATGGCTCAACAAAAAATAATAGGATTCCAAGTGTGGTGTTGACACGACGTTAGTGAGTGTTCGTTTGTCACCACACCCATAGGCGACTTTGTTCTTCAGTTATCGCTTCAGTGTCTCCATGTATGGTGTTATGTAAAGGTCATAGGAACTTATGTATTCTTAGGATAATTAGGCTTCAATTCCATATGATCGCCCATACGTGTTGAGACGCTTTGACAAGCGGCTCTCCAAATGGAACCATTACAAGCACAATCAATGCAGATGGAACCCCAATTACGTCCATGAACTGGCATGCTATCCTCATGAAATCGGCGTTACTCAACAAAGAAACACCTAAAGGGATTACAATGACTACGGTGTTTATACATGCCACATCGTCCTGCTAGAAAGAACGCAAGACTTATAATTAGTGGCGATGCAGGCATTTTACTCTGGTAATTCAGGTGAGTACTTGGAACAGACCAACACTGTTGTCTCACCTACGGGCGTTCCTACAATGTGTTTGCAATCATTTACAAAGGCATTCGCGCCCACTAATCCTGCTATGGACCACTGTTTCAGCTAGTCTTAGAAGCAGTCATGTGTGCACCCCGTGACACAGGTTGTTATCGACTTGGCAGCTACTCGGAAACATTTTGTCATTGGAAAGTAGGTAATTCCGGAGGCATTGTTGAAGGAGGAAAGTCGCTCCAAACTCTATGCTTACTATGCATGTGCGATGCTCATTGGCAGCTCATATCAGGGCCGTAGGGTCATTTGATATTTCAAGCTTATCGATCACTTGGAAGTGAAGTGTAAATATCATGTTGAAACGCAGGATTGACATGCATCTTACGACCTTAACATAACGGCAGGTCCATGGGTCCTGTAGCGGTAACTGAGTACTGAAGTGGCCCACAGGTGTGGAGACGAACGAACACTCACTAATGTCGTGTCACCGCCACACTAGGAACCCTCCTCTTTGGAACAATGGCTACAGATCCACTGATGGTCCTACCTACACAGCGAACTAGACGTTAGTATACAATGCGCCGACTACATCAGCAATACGTAGCTACGCTATTCACATGAGTGTATGGCCAACTGAGAAAACACTGCAGCTGTAAAGCTTTTAAAAATTCTAATTGCGAAGAAGTTCTAGCTTTACCTCCTCCATACGAATTACTGCATTGTTTCTGATTACCTCACACCGCATAAACAATCACACGCATATCCTAAGCGAAATCGCACACCTATCGATCCTCCAGATTGCTCGCAGTGGCACGATTACACTATGCAACCGTATCACGTGTGGCCAGATAGGCAAGCGAATAAGGAAGGCAACCGTGCTGTCAACCCGTAAGCCTACAAAGCTTCTCTTCCAATAGCCTGCAAGGGTTGCAGCCCCAACACAATCAACCAATCCGCTTCTTATCACTGCTTAGTTATATGTCATCTCGCTCGTGTAAGCCTTCAAAGCATCTCTTCCAACAGACTGCAAGGGTTGCAGTCTCAACAAAAACTAGCAATCCCTCTCATGGGACTCATGAGAGTGTCAACGACGCCAAAACAGCGTTCTTAGCCTCGCTAACTTGAAAGTCCTGACGCGATTTCGAAATTGTGCCACGCTGAAAGATTGGTACAATGCACTAATATGCGTGTAAATGGTATAAACGCACAACTGGATAAGAAGAATAAATCCGCAACCACATGTAGGACGACCGCGCTTATTCGGATACAACAGCGAAGCATCGTAGGCAATGGCTGACGTACTGTTTTTGTTGTTGTTACTGTTGTTGTTGCTGCTGCTGTTGTTTTTGTTGGTGATGGTGTTGGTGGTGTTGTTGTTGTTGTTCAGTGTAATCTGCAGATGAAAAAGTGGAAAAGACGCCATCTAAGCAACTAGCAAACAAGGTATGCCAAAGGAGCAGTTCGAAGTGTCTGAGACGATTGCGATCTGTTCAACAGGCGTAGTTCAAGTAAAGCAACTACAGTAAGATGTAGGAAGTTGACCATCTATATATATGCTGACCACCTTTTTAAATAGACCGTCCTATTTTTCATTTTTGGAACGTTCACCATATAAACGTTTTGGATCAATACCACTGTCCTTTGACCACCTTTGTGTGTTGAGCAGTTTGGTCCAGCCTCTTGAATTCTACTCTAGACGCCTACAACCTGTCGAAGTCAAGTAAAGCACGTTCAGTCGCGAACTGCTGGCCATTTACTCTACCGTACGACATTTCCGACACGTCCTCGAAGTAAACACCTTCAGTATCTTCACTGATCCCAAACCGCTTACCTATGCATTCCGAAATCAATCAGATCGACACTCACCACGTGAGATTCGTCAGCTGGATTTCATTGCCCAATTCTCCACTGATATCCGACACATTTCTGGTCAACAAAACGTCGTCGCTGATGCTCTTTCAAGAGCATCTGCGATCGCCCCTGAAGGGCAGGCAATCGATTTGTCTGCTATGGCCGCCGCGCAATCAAACGACCAAACTTTTTCGGAACTTCGCGATTCTTCTTTGAAAATATCCCCGCACCCTTTGCCGTCATCTGATGGTACCATTTTATGCGACACATCTACCGGACGACCTCGACCCGTCGTTCCAGAAACTTTTCGTCGTATCGTACTCGACACCCTCCACAATATCGCCCACCCAGGCATTAAAGCTACTGCTAAGCTTGTCTCTGAGAGATGCGTTTGGCCGGGGATGCAACGCGATCTTACGCGTTGGGCACGCAGCTGTCTCACCTGCCAGCAAGCCAAGATTCAGCGGCACGTGTCCGCTCCGCTTGGTCGCTTTCCGTCCGTTTCAGCGCGGTTTGCTCATGTCCATCTCGACATAGTGGGACCTCTGGCCCATCGAAAGGAATGGTCTACATTTTAACCATGATCGATCGTTGCACCCGTTGGCCCGAAGCCGTTCCTATCCCTGAAGTAGCTGCGGAAACCGTAACGCGCGCTTTCGTCGAGCGCTGGGTCGCTTCACACGGCTGTCCAGCCACAGTGACTACGGACCGCGGTCCGCAATTCGAATCTACGACCTTTAACGATCTCCTTGAACGCATTGGATGTCAACACATTCGCACGACCGCCTATCATCCGCAAGCGAACGGCATGGTGGAACGTTTCCACCGACAGTTGAAAGCCTCACTTAGCGCCGCCAATGCGCTGAGTTGGACTGAGGTGCTGCCTATGATCCTCCTTGGGATCCGATCAGCCTTAAAGGCCGATCTGCGTACGTCTAGCGCCGAATTATTATATGGACAACCACTGCGTTTACCTGGCGATTTCTTCTCCGTTAGTCCCAGAATTACCCGTTACGACGCAAATTATGCACGTCAGCTAGCCACGAGCATGCGTCAGTACAAGCTTCCCGACGTTAGAGAACAACAACGTAAATCTTTTATTCCACAAGACCTGCCGCATTGTCCGTTCGTTTTTCTCTGCCTCGATGGTCTCCGCAGATCACTGGAGCGATCTTACGAAGGTCCTTTCAAGGTCCTGCAGCGTAAGGACCGCGTTTTTATCATCGACCGTCACGGTAAACGAGAAGCCGTTATGATTGAGTCTCAAGGTTGCCCACGTGGAACCTGAGCTCGATGAAGAGCCTTGCTCGTCTTCTGAAGAATCAACCCAGCCTATGATGGAAGACGCGCATGCTTCCAACATCCCTGAACCCAAGCATCACGTTCCATCCAAGCCTTCCACTTCAGCTCCACCGTTTTCCATCGAACCAACCGCCCCTTCTTCAGCAGTTCCTCCAATTTTGCGATCCGATAAAATGTCTAAGATGACGCCTTCCTCTGATTCGCACAAGTCGACTAGGTCGGGTAGACGCGTTCATTGGCCAGCGCATTCACTTTCCTTCTTGTTTTCCTTTTCTCTTTTGGCTAACCACGTACGAAAACCCAAAAATCGGCAAAAGCTTTTGAAAACGCTAAAAAAACGACAAAACTTTTTGAAAACCCGAAAGAACGCAAAACGTTTTGAAAACCCAAAAAAGAAGAAAACGTTTGGAAAACACATGAAAGGAGTTACGTTTCGCTTGATGCCTACCTCATCCGGTAAGTATCACTCTTATTTTTGCCCTCGCCTTCACCGTCACTACCCTTGTTTCCGTATATCTTCCATGTATGAACCGGAGGAGAGGACGAGTCTGAAGCGAACATTTGACCTTCATCATCATCATCATTATCATCATCATCATCATCATCATCATCATCATCATCATCATCATCATCATCATCATCATACACGTTAGCTAGAGGTGGGGAACACCTCAGCTACTGTGCCGCAGTACATAGAAAAAAGGAGAGAAAAAATGCAACTGGTGCAAGCTGGCTGAGCTACCGGTAAAGGATGGGCATCGGTCCGGTAAGCTACCAGCCGGCTGCTGTGCATTAAAAAAATTACTATGCGAAATTATGTAATTAGATAATTATATATACATGTGACCTTCACGAACTCGCGAACATTTACTGCTTACGAACTTCCCCCATTTTGTGTTATTGGCACCGTTAGGGAGGACACGGGTTGGAGTCCTCTAGGGTCCGATCGCCTGGTTCTCCCCCAGCAGCTGCATCAGGTTTCACTACCTGGTCTCGCAGAAGGCTGGCCCGCGACGGACAGTCCTCACGTAAATCGAAGGGCCACCCACGGTTTCCCTTCTAGGAGGAGGGCTGTGTAGCGACCTGGAGATTCCCCCGTATGATTGTGTAAACTATTCTAAACTATTCAAATTTTAGCTTTCTTATGTATTAGGGAACTATTCGGTTTGCCAGTTGGAACGTTGTTCCCGTTTGTCGGAAACACGAACACGATCTCCGCCTTTAGCGCGCGACTCGACTGTGAACGACGCTCTGTCAACGCACTCGACACCAACGACATTCTCCCTAGCTAGTTCTCTCCGTGTGCCCTATTTTTAGCATTAGCTAACGCTTCTCCCGTCCAATAAACTTCTTCCCTAGCTTACTCTTGTGTCTTCTACCCATTGCTTTTGGGTTGGCCGTCTAGTCGCGTACCGGATATATAGCGCACGATCAACGCGCTATAAGCCCCTTGAGTGGTCAACTTACAGAGATTTACTGTAGTTCGACGAGATGGAAGATTGCCAGTTCCAAGCACAAACGGCGGACAACAATATTAACATTGCGTGATTTAAGTATGAATAACGATTCAAAGGAAAGCTAGCATCGTGCCTAAGTAAGGGGCTTTTGGCGTCTTATTCGGATGCAGAAGGCGAAACTTCGGTAGTAACTGTCATACTACATACCAAGAAGTACAGAAAGGAGGTTAGTAAATGAGAGCAAAAAGGTAGGAGAAATGGGGGGAGAGAACGAAAACTGGTTGCTTCTGTTAATATGTTCTACCGCATACGGAGAATGGAATGACCATACTGAGACAAGGCAAAGGCCAATACATGCCAATTTTGACGAAATAGTCTCAGTGTGTGGTGTTTGATACAGTCAAGTCGCACTAACATGGGCAAAAGAAGTCACCCACTTAGAAACCTGAGCACAGGAAGTCGGCAAGCTGGTAACCATCCACAAAGTGAATAATTTTCGCCTAACATGCTACCCAAGCCCTATACCGAACCCAGAGAGCCAGGAGACTGTGCCTACCTTAACCACCAATGAACCGGGTGGTCCAAGGTGTAGCGCCAAGAAAGACAACTCTTATCCTTTACGTATAATTTTACTTCTGATTTATTGTACAATATTCGCTCCGGTTATACTGCTCTTCACCTTCCGCCTCTATCCCCTCACACTCCTTTGTTCAGTGAGTTAATGCGCTGAGGTTCGCCACTGTCCCCCTCCATCCGTCCGCATCTTCTTGTGACAAGTTGAATATAGTCCGCTGTGTCCGATTTCGTTTATCTTCTGATAAACGCACTCGATTACGCGCATCGTCACGGACTAGTAGTTACTGTAATATTCGCCCGGTTCTGGATTCGAGGTGTGCCCGCTGCCCATATTCAGAGTAGGTCGCAGTGGATCTGATGACCTGTAACGGAACACAAAGATGTCCGGAAGTCAAACAAGAAGCACCTAATAAGAACGAATATCGACAAATAATGCCTGCTGACAAGCCGATGCCAGGAAATGGTCAAATAACCGGGAGGCAACCGGAGCGTAGGATAAAGGGTCCGAAGTCAAGGTCCCACCGAGAAGGAAAACGGGGAGATTCGAAACACAAGTCCTGTGTTACAGTGCTCCCCTTCCAAGTGGTGCTGTCCTCAGTGCCTGATTGCCTTTGCTGATTTTAACCTGTTGAAATGTATAACGGTCGAGGAACAGGCAGCGCCTGACTTCATGATTCACTAAGTCAGACTTGACAACCCTTCGTCCAAAACAAACGGTCCTTTCCAGTTTCGACAGTTTCGCAGGAAAGTCTGGTGGTTCTGCCGCTGCTCTGAGTCAGACCGTACCACTAGGTTTGAACGGACTTCTGAATGCCATTCGATCAAAGTCAACCTTCTAATGGCGTGGTGAGATTTGCAGGTGCATCTGTGCCAACTGGTGGTCTCGCAACAGACTTGAGTGTAACCGAAGTGCAAACTCCGATGCGACTAGAGATTTATGGTGTGACGTCAACAGCAGGATATTCGACGGCAGATCGCGGCCTCTCATCATATGATGTGGTGTCTGACCGGACGCTCGATAAGCCAGGAAACATCTGAGCAGAGGCGTGTCCCACTCCAGTATCGTCTCGGTAGTTAGAAAAGCTTATACCAACGTCTTTATGGTACGATTCGTGCGTTCAGCTAGTCTGTTTCCCACCGGGTAGGCGGTTGTGCGTGTCCTCTGAAAGCTGAAAATGTGAAAAATCGCTCATGAGTGTGCGTTCGA